TAGCATTGAAAACAGTTAACACTACGACACAATATCAATACCAAATTATAACACATCAACAATGCAACTTTGTGTTTAGTATGAAGTCACCTTTAAATCTTCCTCAGTCTGTAAACTGAATTTCCAGGACATGTATAATGCACATTACGTGTCGTCACCTGTGATCAACAATGGGCAACAACTTAGAATGCCAAAAAACCTTAATAAATGTCACTTGGATAGAAAAGGTTCTGGTTAACATTACTCCTTAAAAGGCAAATGTTCCAGACCAGATAAAGCCAATTACTTTTATTTTGAGCTATCGCCTATCCTTGAGATCCTCTTTCTAAAATCCATAGATGATGGCAAACTACCTCATCAATGAAAATCTACCCCTAATCTTTGACAGCTAAAACGTATAACCCAGCTTACTGCACATCTGTTGTCTCATCCCTCTGGACCTCATAAATTTGGGTTTTATCCTTCTGGGTATTCTATACCATCTCTTACATAGTTTTCATGTAGATAAGCGATTCTGAAACTTTACTAAACTTAAAATGATGGTGAACGACATTCTCGTATCAGTCTATAGCAGGAAGCAAGTAGACCCCATTCTCTTAAACTTCAGTCAAGCTTCTCAAAAGTCATAAAATGTCAAAATCTTTTAAGAAAATAGATTACAATCTGTAAAATTGGATTGATATTTACTTGACGCTATTTGTTATCTTCTAGAGCAGCCAAAGGTCGGTTCCTGAAATTCTCGGGAAAATAAGTTGTAAAAAAATAATTTTGAGGTTAATATAAACATTCGTACGTCGCACATCACAATTATATATTTAAAGATAATTGGTATATAATCGAAGGTCTGAAATACAATAAAAGTTTATGCTGATAGTATTTAGTATCTGATAAAGAGTGACAAACCACTAATGAAGCATATATTGATGTTGTTTACAAGTGTAAACAAATGATTCTATACTTTATTTATCATGCAAATGTCCATACTAAATCACATAGAAATTATCAACATTTGTTTTCAATCGATATATTTTATAAGAATACAATTTTTATCAATATTTGAAAAAAATATACATTAACACCAAAGCACTTTAAAAACCGCAACTACCGATCGAGTTTTATCAATTTACATGAACTGTTTTAAATTGCCTGGAATACCGAAATATTCAGATATACGAAGTACCATATGTTGTATATGTGTATAAAATATATTTGTGCATAACTGTAACCGATAAAGGACCACGCCAGCTTTTTCTACATTAAATATTTACCGCGAAATTATGCTTATTATTTTCATTATCAAGTTAAGCGAAATTGACTATATTTTTAAACGATTGTTATAAAAGTGATTGACCATCAGTTGATATTGATGATATATAAAAAACATTTAACAGTTGTTAAACACAAATGCCCCCGGTTCAGATTCTAGTCAGTAGCAATATTTCAAAAATGTTTACCCATTCACTCAGTTATGGACAGAAAAATTGACAAAAAATTGTAAACACAAGTTATATAGCTTGACAAAATCATGGCATTTTGTAATTGTGAAAAATATAAGTTGCCAAGTCATTGCTCTGACTTGTGAAGTTCAAAAATATTCAACTTCATGCAAGTTATCTTCCTACCAAATATGAAATACATTTGTCATTAAATAAAGGCTGTATGGGCAAAAGTGTAAAAATCTATTTTGAGCACTGGTGACATTGACCAAACTGACCCCTAACTCTATCCAAAGGAAGTATACCATGTAAGTTATTTTCCTACCAAATATGAAATACAGCTGTCAATAAATAAAGGCTGTATGGGCAAAAGTGTAAAAATCTATTTTTAGCACTGGTGTCCTTGACCGAACTGACCACTTACTCCATCCAAAGGAAGAATACTATGCAAGTTATCTTCCTACCAAATATGAAATATATCTTTAAATAAATAAAAGCTGTATGGGCAAAAGTGTAAAAATCTATCTTTAGCACAAGTGACATTGACCCACTGATCCTTACCCCAATCAAAAGGATGAATACCATGCAAGTTATCTTCCTACCAAATATAAAATATATCTGTCACTAAATAAAGGCTGTATGAGCAAATGTGAAAAAATATAATTTTGCACTGGTGACCTTGACCCCACTGACCACTTACTCCATCAAATTTTATGTTTCTATCAATTATAAATAGCATCTGTCTATCAAATAAGGTTAATACACCTGTAAAGATCTATTTTAACATTGGTGACCTTGACATTGGTAACATTGACCTTGACCCAAATGACCCGTTACTACACCCAAAGAAGGAGGACCTCCCTTGGCATGTTTGTATTAAACTAAGACATCGACTAAAAAATAAAGTCTGTATGAGCAAAAATGTTTATATTTATTTTTTAAACCAGTGACCTTGACCTTGACCCTAGAGACCACTTACTCCACAAAAAATAAGAGGATCATCAAAGGTATCCACCTACAAAATATGAAAGATATCATTAAAGAAATTAAGCAATTAGGAGAAATTTAAGATAAATCCAACTTGCCAGAATAGGTTAACCAGACAAGGCCCTATTTTCAAAGTGAAAAAAGGGAAATAACTGGGAAAAATGGATGACACAGTTATATAACTTTGCAATATCAAATATGCCAGTATTCTGGATGATACGCACTTAGAAAAAAACTCAAATATTTATAGACAATACAATCTCCATCACTAGCTTTATTCAGTGGCAATAATTAAATAGCGTCTCAAACCTCTTCTGATAAAATGTGTACATTCTTATCTGTAGATACTTCACTTTTTTTGTGCTACTATATTAGTCACTTTTGCTTTAGACTTTCGTCATATTCAGGCGTATCATTTTGTGAATAAAGTGTGCAAAAATATCTTAATTAGTGTTGGACAAGTTGTTAGCGGTCACGTATAACCTCATTTTAAAATTTTATCACAGATGTCATCTTACTCTCAGATTTCGTTTCTCTCGAGTTCATAAATTTCCAGAAGTGAGAAGAGTCTTAATCTGCTGTTTTACCGAGCTCATGGCCCTTTAAGGCTAGATAATTTTCAGAATATTTTCTAAGCATTTTTCTGAATGTACACTTTGCCTCTTTGACATAACATTCTGAATGAGCGGCTCCACGTGGTCGTCCTTCATGACAACATACTTCTCGAAAAACTATCATAATGTTATGATAGACAATGCCTGATTCCAAAACGGGTTTTAAAGTTTCTGAAAACGCTTGACTGGTAAAGCGGTACTTGCACATTCTACAAGTTTTGTTGCGAAAATAATATATAGCACATCAATACTCTCAAAATTGAAATCAGGTTTTCACTAACTGAGAATCACACACCTTATTGAGTACATCATATTAATTATCGTCATACATACTCTGATAAAGCGGCTCATTAACTATATACCCAGTGATGAACTAAATGTCACTTTAAGTACGTGAACAGGCTGACTAGGAATATTTACTTGTTGAAATAAATGTATCACGATAATTTGTACGTTCTATTATGCCAGATTTGTTCATGCTGTAAGTTTGTTCAATAGCATAGTTTAGATGATATTTGGTTTTTAATCGTTATTGTTTTCTATATGTAACTTCTATCTGCAGTGGTTCAATGTCAGATAGTTGCAACAATAGAGCAAAACTGGACGACCGTGCCATGTCAATACCGCATGCTTAGATATTTAGATCATGAAATATTCATTTGCTATTTTTAGGTGTAAAACACCTTACCTTGCCTTTTTGTTGTTTTCAATGATTTATTATATACAAATGTAATCATTCACTGTTTAATATTGCTCTATAATTGCAAAATCATTATTTTCAATTAAAAGCATGTAAAGCAGTGTGGAAATTTTATTCTTTATGAATTCGTGTTTCAAGCACAAATTAATATTATTAAGAGGCCACCTCTCTGAAAACTAATTAATGTTATTTATGAACCGCCTCTCTTGGCACAAATAAATATTATTTAATGACCACCTGTCTCATTTACAAAAATAATCAAACCATAGTTAAGATTAAGAAACTAGTGGAATTAATAAAATTGAAAAGGTATCTTCACTACAGTTACAGAGAAAATTCTTTTTGAAACATGGCAATTATTTTGAAATTCTTTAAAAGTCATGTATTTTTTTATTACAGCATTGAAGTTGCTCACCAAAATTTATTCAGAGGGTCTTTTGGAACTTAATTATAATAGTTTGATGCAATAATCTGCATGTAATTTTTATAATGAAATATGCTGTTTTTATCTTGCTGTATTAAATGTAATTGTAGAAATGTGCATGGTTCCATTTTTGTCACAAAGAAATAAACGTTATATCTGACTTCATAGCTGACTGTTTGACTGAAGGACTTGAAACTCGTAACGCAAATTTTATTCAATTATCAATATTAAAACCTTTAATAATATAGCAATTAAAGCTGTTCGTTGGACAATCAAAGGAAAACTGATACTAATTTCTGATTGAATGCATACACGAGTATGTGATATTTCACAAACAACACCCTTTACATGAGATGCATATTTGATAAAATGTTTTCTTCCGTTTCATATTTTTGTTCATTCTTTTTTCTTTATACCAGTTTCATCAAAGAAGAATTATATAATGACATTATGCGAAAAAAAACGTTTCCATGTGATCTATTTTCCATGTAACAATTTGGATATAAATTGCTCCAAGCCATATCTTATATTATAAAGATACGGAATTTTAGCAAATTCATTATAAAAGTTTAAATTAGTTTTCATTGAATAAATTTAAATTTAAATTTAAATTTAGAATAGAATAGAAACGCAATAACGACATCGTCAAAATCACTTTTTAAAACTAAACCTCATCATTTCAAATGCATATGTAAAAGTAAGAGTGAATTATCGATTTTTACAGTCGAGCTGATCGTTTCAACAATAATTTGATATGAAGTGAATAAATTATGTATATACAGTTTATAAAGAGTTCTCGCTTTAATGTTCATTCAAACGGTGTTGCTGTTCAAGTTTTCATATGCCATTGCATTGTGTTAAAATATGTTTGATTTTAAAATCTGTTGATAAAAAATAATTTTAGGTCATATGAATTATTTTTACTGTACTACCCGACGGAGTACAGTTATCTTCAACATCTTCGAATAGTTGGAATGCGAACACACAAAACAAAAAAAGTGTAAACGTGATTAAAACTCCATCTAAATTAAATTACAATTAAATTGAAAATGATAATATTCAATGTCAATCATATTTTACTATTCTTATTTTGTTCAGAAACTGTTTTTTGTTTTACATATTTAAGTAAGGATGGTGTAGAAATACAATATACTGTCAAGTTTAAACGTGAATGCCGAGGAGAAATGGACATAATAGTCACTTTAGAAAGTATTGCACTCCCGGAATGTGTTCTGGAATGCGGAATGCGGCCGGACTGTAAAGCTTTGAGCTACATGAAAATTTTCAAGAAATGCAATATATACTCTTCAGACGGACACGAAAGTGATAGAAATAAAGGAAGTTGTGTGGAGATTCTGGCAGCGGATATTAATGTCAAAAGGGTGAATATTTCTATGTTCGTTTCTTCTTTTACACACTATTAAATGATCATAATTACACATCTATGTGTAATCATTTGGATTTGAGTGATTTCAAAAAACATTTTTATATTAAGTTACCAAAAAGCTTCCCAATAATATGCAACTGAAAAGGACGTCTCATTTACAATTAAACGTTAAAAGTAATGCATTCATTGTTTTTAGTAAAAAAGCATGTCTTAGACTTTGTCGAAAGTAAATTTCTTATAACCTCCGTTTTTTACATGAAATGTTAAATATAAATATCTTTATACAAATAATGCTTCTTCACCCTTACAATATTGATACGAAGGATGTTCGAAATATATTGCTTATTTCTATCTGGTGACTTCAAATTTCAAGTTAGGTCAAAAGTGTTCATTTCATGCCCTCGAAGTACTGCCCGTGACTAGAAATGCAAAGATCCACTTTTTGAAGGCGTCACGGTACGCTGATTTGGGCACAGTAATAAGGTACTGATGAATGGCAGATCCAAGTGCCTGTCGGACTTGAATTTCCGCCCAGCAAGGAAGAATTTTAATTTCGGAAACAAAAAGAAATCAAACAGGGCAAGGTCTGGAGAATACGGGAGTCGAGGCAAAACAGTTACGTTTTCTTTTTTCAAAAACGCCGAAACTATGCGAGATGCAGATTTTGGCCTACCTGATTTTGGTGCATTTTTGATGCACTCTACACCAGACTCAAATTTCTTTTTTCATCGCTTATTTGTGTCATAAGACACACAAGAAAGCACATAAGGAGTAGAGAGTTCAGTCATCAACTGCTTCAAGGAGCAACCCAGTTTTGAGCGAGCTTTGGTGTTAGCCCGTATTTCATATTTTTTGTCGACGCTTCTACCAACCATTTTTACTACAGTGGTCAATGACTGCGTGTATTTAAATGGCAAATTGTATGTCTTACACTTAGTCTAACATGTACATTTATACACCGTTGTGTAGGTATTGAATTACCCTATACAGGTATGTATTGTTTTTTATCGTGTTCCACGTGGATCACGAGATAGAGGACAATAAGCAGTTCTTTTCGAGCGGCCCTCGTAAATCCCCATTTGAGCATTGGCGATATAAAACCATACAAAAATTTTGTTACGGGGTCTTAAAAGTGATATTAATAATTTCCTATACATCATGCATATCTAATCTTTCTAATTCTTATTATCAGTTTAAGTGGATACAATAATAATTTCACCATAACATAATTTTTCACAAAAGAGCTCATGTTAATATTTGTTTTTAATTTCATTATTATTCAAATTAATGGTCGGAGTAGAGATCTGTAAATTATTGGTATTTTAAAGATCCTGTATCACAATTTGTTTACATGGTTTTATTCATGAATATGATGTTCAAATTAAGATTTATCAATATTGTAAGTTCCAATAAGCATTATTTATAAACATATTACCCAATTTTACATTTGATATAAATAAAGGGAGGTAATAAAAATTCATTTTCTATACATTCTAAGTCAAATTTTCCAATAAGAAATGAATGCATGTAATTTATTGATTAAATATAATGTGCACAAATATTTGCAGTACACATTTTACATATTATTCGATGTTTGAAAATTGTTTTATTTGCCTAATTATATACATATATAATTTTGGCAAGTGTGGTATACACACAGTAACAATTTCAATCACAAAACATAAAGGATCTTTAAAAGACAAAAAAGAAATAGATTTAACAAATTGTTTTTGACTCGAGAACATTTTACTAGGTCGGGACTTCACGAGGCACTGAATCACCTTGCGTATGATCCTTTCTATTTAAAACTTTGAAAACAATAGTATATGACTTTTATCATATAACGTATAATTATAATCTTAATTTTTTATATTAATATACTGGCATTATGCCCGCGACGTTATTTAAGAAAATTCACTCGTATATAATACAGATCTACATACTGATTAATAAAATGTTTGCGATGCAAGCAGTAAAAATAAAAATGAAGGAGAGGTATATTCTAATTATTTGTTATATATTTCAACAGAAACCTTGTCCTGAGTGTACTTCTGGCAAGACTTGTAATCCTGCAAAAGGGTATTGTGAAACCACAGGTAAAATTCTGTTTAAAAATTATGTCAATATTTTACCTCTGTAACTATTGAATACATTACATTTTTAGAGGATATTGAATAAGTTATGGTCCAAAACTGGTCTTATTTATCGAGTAAGATGACAGTAAATTATTGTCAACGAGTTCAATGGATTTAGTAAAGAATTCACAGAGCTGCAGTTTTGTTATATTCACATATCCTTGAACATAACTACTGAAACACTTAAAGTGTAATGCTATCATTAAGCGCATCTTAAAGCTGTGCTAGTTAACTGCAAATTACGACATGTCAAAATATATGTACGATAAACATGTACTGTTGTGTGATACTGTTTTTACGAAGTCGTTGTAGCAGCATGTGATGAAGTACTTTTATCATATAAACTTACGTACAGGAGTGTAATGAAGCTATTTGATGAACATTATTTAACACTAATGTAATAATATTTTAACGTGACACTACTTGAGTTGTATAGAAACATATCGTTCAAGCGGGATAGTGTAAGCGTTACGCTATAGGCGCGTCCATGAAAAATGGACAAGTCTTGTGAATTATAAACTGTTCTTATTTTGGAAATGTGATGAAAGGAATATTATATTTGTGTAGATTTAATACCTAATCTCTAGAAGTTGTTGAATAAAACAATATTTTGCAAGTCATTTAATGACTTTAGTACTAAATCTACATTTATTTATTATCCTATATATCTATTGCTTTCGTATAATTGCTACAACAGCTCATATATATATTTAGAACAACGACTGCGTATTGAACGTTATGCTTTAGTATCACAAAGAATTAATGATGAATTCAGAAATATTGAAGTATTCATGTTATGTGCAATCACCTAATGCTTGTTAATAACCCTTTACATTTTGATATGCTGCAACACACAGAGCTATTATTTTTTTACTGAGAACAACATAAGCAAGGCAGCGCGACGTAGCGAAGCTGCCATTCTTTCACAAACTGCAGACTTGAAATCGAGGTAACGGTTATGTTGAGAAAAAAGCCATATCCGTATTAAATAATGAACTGAAGAGTCAATTGCTATGTGATAGGTTCCCAGTAGAATGTGAACTTAATTAATTAATGTATTTTATTTGTGTTCCGGAGAATACAATACAAGCAACCGCGGAAGCATGCATATTTGATTGATGCCCTTTGTGAATCACTATCATTGTGTCTGTCCGTTTGCTTGGTTAAATGACGCACAAACACAGTATAGGTCAAATTGTGCCGAGACATCAATTCATTTGCTGGAACTAAGAGGTGCATAGATTCAGTTATTCAAAATCATTTAGTCGACTAATACAACCAACGGTGACTGCAATTCTTATGTCTTAACCATTAACGACAGCACCTCAGGCATGAATCACTATCACTTAAGTACGATGCTTAGGGGAAAATACCAGCAGTCAAAATGCATCTGTCATTTTATTCTTAAAATGTATTTAATGTGACAATCGATGACAATATTCCTTTCAAGATTCAAAAGCTCTTAACAGCTGAATAAAAATTGTTCCTCCCTTAGTGTATTTTGTTTTTAGAATTGGGCCGAAAGCAATACGAAAATGTTATCCTTCGAGTGATCCTAACAGCGAAGAACTGAATAGAGGTGGAATTTCATTGTCAATTTTAATTTCGACTTCTCTCAGGCCCTTAACAGCTAAACAGTGTCAAGTCGTCTTTAAATAATTTACCGTGCAAGCGCTTCAGGTCACATGGTTAGTAACTGGTCTGAATGAATAAATAATTTCTTACGTAACGTCTTGACATGTAATTTTGCTGTTTTACTGCTTCCAAGGGATCACTTTTTCCGGATATTTATACATCACAACAATAGGTGTCAAGCGCTGTGTGGAAGCCGTAAAAAGTTGCCACGTATTTTACTTCAGTGTTTTTTATATATTTTCCTGGTCCTTCGGGACCATTAAGTCCAGCACTTTTAAGTGTTGTGAATTGAGTACCACTGAAGCCGGTACTAGAGGTTGTGAGGGATGTTGCAATGTTTCATGATCCCTCATGTTCAGACTCTTTAAACCCGAGTCTACAATTTTCATGAAATTGTGCTGATTTTGATGTTTCCGAGGGATCTCCATTTTTTAGGTATTTGACACACTTTTGGTGCTTGCGAATAAAACGGCACACGGCACAAACAGCACTGATGTGTCTAATGAATAGAGAGAAATAAGGATTCCCTTCCAGAACGTCCAAATTTGCAAAGTCGAAAATGTTGCAGGCTAGGTTTGATTGAGCCTATTCATTGTAGATACTAGAAAGTGCAATCCATGCCTCTAGCACCGGCTAAAGGACAACTCAACATTTTTGAATTTAGAAACATCTTCAGATGTTTAAGTACTGCCCATACCCATGGAACGTGCAGTGCGACACGTTAGTGCAACTCCATGAAAAGTGGCAGATGGTCCCAAAGTGAGAAAATGCGTGTGCCCTATACGAAGAAAACAATGGATTTAGCTAATTTAAAAACAAAATTGAATTTTGAAAGGGTAAAAGGGGACATGAAGCCTGCATATATATATGAGTTATCAGAAAGCAATTCAAAAAGATTCGCAGATACCCTAAGGTTGATTAAACAGAACTGTATTACTTGAAACTTTCGTGCATACAGTGTTTTTATATGCCCGGAAAAAATTGGGCATTTTATGTTATACCCCTTGGCGCCCGTTCGTCCGTTAGCAATTTTGTTTCCGGAGCATAACTTAATTTAACTTAGGCCCACAATATTCAAACTTTATAGGATGATTGTCCATATTGGATAAAAGACCCCTATTGATTTTGGGGTCACAAGGTCAATTGTCAAGGTCACTTTTTCCATTAAACTGAAAACAGTTTCCGCTTAATAACTTCAGTATTCATCAACCTACAGCTATTAAATTGCTATTAAATTTTATAGGATGAACAGCCATTACCAATACATGACTCCTATTGACTTTAGGGGCAAAAGTTCAAAGGTCAGGGTCACAATGATCTTTACTCTGAAAATTGTGGTTTCTTAGCATAACTTAAGTTACATTTGACCCAAAGTGTTCAAACTTCATATCATGAATGACAATATTGGGTGAAAGACCTCTATTGACTTTGGGATCACAAGGTCAAAGGTCACTATTACCCTAAAACTGAAACAGTTTCTGCTTAATAACATGAGTATTAATCAACCTACAGCTGTAAATTATATAGGATGAACAGCCATGTCCAATACAAGACCCCTATTGATTTTAGGGCTATAAGGTCATAGGTCAGGGTCACACTGATCATTATACTGAAAATTGTGGTTTCTGGAGCAAAACTTAAGTTCCGTTTTGCCCAACATTGTTCAAACTTCATAGGATGATAGTCAATATTGAGAAGAAGACCCCAATTAATTTTTGCGTCACAAGGTCAAAGGTCAAGGTCACTATAACCTTAAAACTTAAAACGGGTTTCACTCAATAACTTAAGTATTTATCAACCCACAGCTGTAAAATTTTATAGGTTAAACAGCCATGTCCAATATATGACCCCTATTCGTTTTATGATCATAAGGTCAAAAGTCAGGGTCACGAAGATCTTTACACTGAATATTGTGGTTTCTGGAGCATAACTTCAGTTCCGTTTGGCCCACAGTTTTCAAACGTCATAGGATGATTGTCAATATTAAGTAGAAGACGCCAATTAATTTTTGGATCACAAGGTCAAAGGTCGAGAGCTTTATTACCTTAAGACTAAAAACGGTTTTCGCTCAATAACTTAAGTATTAATCAACATACAGCTGTAAAATTTTATAGGATGAACGGCCATGGCCAATACATTTACATGACAATTGATGTAGGGTCAAAATATCAAAGGTCTGTACTTTATATATTTGAAGATTCTTTAGCTATTAGGGAGGATTGCTTTTTAAAGGAGGTAATACTTTATTTAATTCCCATGTCTTGCAAATACTTCATCCTTACTAAAAAATAACAGCTTTCGGGCATATACTGATCCGCCTAGCGTTGCTCTTGTTCGTGTTTTATAAAAAAATGCCTTTCGCGGAGACAAACTTTCATGCAAACATAGAGACTGCTTTATTGCCTCGATCATTTTCTGTAGAGAAAGACTGTTGATCTCTTCCCAGACCATAATAGTTCCATATATCAGTCTCATCGCTATACTATAACACAACACATTCCTTTATAACGATTACAATTACATTCATCCGAATATTTAAAACGTACATGTAGTGTAAAATAATTGATTTATGGATACTTTAAACATAAAAATAATATAGAGGAAAAACGGGATCCCTAAAGAACGTACAAAACAACAAAATTGAAAGTGTTGCAGGCTCGGTTTTAATTAGTCTGTTCCGTTTCTTAAAGAGAAGTGTTAACTTGAATGTACAGAATGTCTAATACTGTAGCAAGTCACAGCTTCGCAGAAAGTCTAGGTTGTGCAGCAAGTCTTATACTGTAGCTAGTCTAAGTTGCTCAGAAAGTCCAGTGATCAAATCAAGTCTATATTGTGAAGCAAGTCTAGTACTGTAGCAAGTCCAAATAGCGTAGCAAGTCTATATTGTGCGGCAAGTCCAAGACGGCATTGAGTCCAAGCAGTGCAGCTAGTCAAAGAAGCGCAGCAAATCTATATTGTGCAGCCAGTCCAATATTGTATGTTCAAATTTTACAGCAGGTCCAATACTGCAGAAACAGAATAGAAAAATACGGAATCCCTAAAGAAATCTCAACGCAGCAAAATTTTAAAATGTTGCAGGCTCGGTTTGATTGAGTCTGTTCATGGACGGTACTGGAAAGTGCAAGTTACCGTGCACGCCCTCTAGCACCGGCTTAAGCAGAATTTAACATTTAAATTGAAAAAAAATATGAATTTAGAAACATCCGAAGATGTGTTAATACGGCGGTTATCATGGAACCTTCAATGTTATACAGTAGTGTCATTTCATGAAAAGCGGCTTATGGTCCCCAAGTAAAAGAATGCTTGTGCCCTAACGAGAAAACAATGGGCGGAACTAAATAAAATGGAATTTTGAAAAAGATCTGAGGTTATGGAGCCTGCATAACACAGACAAGACGTCAAAAGACAAATTTAAAAAAGCAGACAACATATCCTAGGGATGATTGTGCAGTATTTAAATTGGAATACTGGAAACCACAGAAGTTGAAAAAGGCCAAATACAAGAAACTAAAAATACAATCGCAAATGTATACACAACAATAATGTCGTGCTGAACGATCATGACAGCAAGTCCTGTCAGTGCTGCAAGTCAAGAATTGCAGCAAGTCTTAGATAAGTCTCCATACTAATTCTTAAGAAAAAAGAATCGAACTCACTGCTCGGAATATTAATCCCCTTCCGTGTAGCGGAAAGGGGATTATAGAAATGGCCTTCCGCCTGTCCGTCCGTAACAATTTTGTGTTCGCTCCATAACTTTTAAACCGCCTTTTTTAATAACTTGGCACAAGTGATCACTATAATGATACAATGTGCAGAGCGCAATAATTGCTACCCCTAAGGTCAAGGACACACTTAAAGGTCAATCATTAAAAAGTCCTCATTTCATAATAAAATGTATACATTTCATGTCCACTCTATAACTTTTAAACCGCTGAACCTTTTTTTTAAAAATAACTTAGAACAAGTGATCACCATCATAAGAACATGTGCAAAGCGCAATAATTGAATTGCTTCCCACTAGTTCAAGGTCACACTTAAAGGTCAAATGTATAAGAGTCTTCATTTCATGTTCCCTCCATATCTTTTAAAGCTGCATGCCTCCAGATGACCCAAAATATTTCAAGAAAATTAAACTTGCAAAAACCATATTTAAACATTGAGAAAAGTAAACAAATCAAAGATTTTAGGGAAAATTTATATCTTATGTGCAATTAATGACTGTATTTTGTAGTATTTATCACCATATTTCTAGTGCGTTACTAACGCAGTAGGGGCTATTTATGCATATTTTGACCTCTTTTTTGGTAACTTACGTGGATTTTAAGTGCCGATAATAATGTGTCAAGTACTTTCTTTGTTCATTTCACAATATTTTACCTTTAAAGACATTTTCAAAATTTTCATGAAAATCAGGATGAATCTGGAGGCGTGCTTCTTTAAATTCCCCCAGGGTCAAGGTTATAATTCCTCCATAACTTTTTTATTTTATGGAAGAATTTTGAAACTTGGCACAAATAATCACCATCATGAGACTATGGGCTTATGATATGCAGGGTACAACATCAAGGTCATGGTTGGTAAAAGGTCAAGAAGTACACATTCATGTTCACTGCGGAAGGTGATTTAGCTGTCCTTCAGACTGCATTGTTAATATTAGTTTAACCGAACTTGACAAAATTGTCTTTATATTAATGTATCATCCTTTATGAACCAGAGTGTCCTGTCGAAGAATTTGAATATGGAATTGTCAGTGGAAACATAAGAAAAGTTGGGTATCATGTGCAATATACATGCAACGACGGAAATACGATCATTAATAAAATAGAATGCCTCTCTAATGGATTATGGAATATAACCGCCGGTAAATGCTCAAGTATGTTGAATTATATTCTAATTTTCGAGTATTTATCATAGATTCTAAAGTACAATAGAACTTGATTGACATAACTATGATTATGAAAAAAACTTATGACCTTTTTTACAGTTATTGAAAATTCAAACATTTAAAAGTTACATTTTCAAGCTAATGTGATATGCACAAATAACTATGTAAGATATTGAAAGCTATCTACCCGTCGATTTTAATGTTATATGTAACTTTACTAAACAACAATATTCATTTATTTGTGCTCGACATGATAATAACAAGATGATTCATTATAAGGGGGCAATGGCTATTGAATTGAGGAAGAAAACAGAAACCTAAAACGTTGTAAATACATGTAGTAAAAAACATATTAGTAAGTTTAAGGCTTTGTAACAAAATTAGTATAATACTATTTTTCATCTATTTAGCCGATGTGATAAATGTTGCTATTGGGAAACCAACAAGCATGTCTAGCGTTTACTATAACAATGATGGCAACAATTACGATGGATCGAAGGGTGTAGACGGCAATTTAAATCAATCATGGTCAGTTCGCTCCTGCTTTCATACTAATGATGACCTTCATTCGTGGTGGCGGGTAGATCTTGGACAAATGTATCGCTGTTTTAGAGTAGTGTTGTACAACCGGCTGGACTGTTGCAGTAGGTTACTTATTCATTTGATTTTACACCTTTAAAGTATTTGATCACTTCATCGGTGCAATCTGTATCAACTTCATTTCGATCAAAGAGTTGTGGGGTGATTCATTAAATATGTAACTAAAAAGATAAATTAGAATGACGGGCAAATTAAAGATCATAAAAGTTTGCTTCTACATTTTTCTAAAACAATCTTGTAATTTACAGAGGAACGAGCTTCAGATTTGGATTTGATGTTTGGGACGACGGAGAACAATATGTATATCGTAAGGCAAGTTGATGGTCAGATTGAGGACATCCATACGTTTAACTTCCCTGAAGGTAAAGGTGCACGATATGTTCAAGTGATGCTTAGAAGACAAAACTCCCTACATCTTTGTGAAGTACAAGTGTTTGGTTTTGCTCGTAAGTTATTTGCAATTATTTTCATAGATCTTGATTATTAAATTGAAGTTGATTTTAAAGTCAGTTCAAATATTTGACATAACTAGAATAACGAGTATAGATATTCGTTTTTATCTCTTTTCAGTTAACTTATAATTCAACTCCAACGGCAATCTGGAGCAGTAAAATACACGTACACCAATCTCAACACGTGACACATTTGGAAGGGAACATAACTGAATTATTTATCTTATTATTTTACTCTCATAGGTAAAACATAAATGATCGTTTTATCTAAAGTTTAATTGTACAAGGACTATAACAGCACCGACTGTGAATATTGACCGACTGTCTGACACAAAGTTTACCGAATAATAGGGAAGGAAGGTATACCTACTTACCGCTAAACTATAACGTGAGAGCCAGTGTGTGGTCTAGCATTTTAAATATTTTATTTTATTTATAGTTCAATCATTAAGTAAGAAATCATATATTTTTGTTAGGCACATTTTTCTTAAAGTAGTAAATGTAGTTTCAAAAATATTTTTTTTGGAAAGGATAAGCATGCAAATGATCAGATATTTTTTATTCAATTTATAAGTCCAGCGAACTATATATTACATTTATATTCCTTTCTTATCGTTAAAACCCCAGTGGAGTCACTTTAACAAACGCAATAGAAGTTTTTCGTGTCTATTGTCTTATCTCTTTAAATAAATGACTAAACATAAATTTCTTATCATTCAGAGGTGCTTTTCATAACGAACCTTCGGACCGATTAAAATTTCATGTACAAATTATGAAAAAAATTGAGTGACAGTTTAACCGTGATCGATAGTTAAAAATGCCACGGTCATGTTGGTTTCCCTTTGGTCGCCGTTGTTTTTTGATGTTGGTACTGTCCCTGTTCGTTCGTCTCATATTTGTTGGTATCTATGGAACGGTTATAACAATAAAACGATTGTGCATGGTCGTTGTTATATGTTACATTTCTAAAATGTTGATACAAAATCACACCTATTGAAACGTGAACAAAAAAAACACATCAACAAGGACAGGACGCGAATCGTAAATCAAACTCGAGTCAATGAAGTTTCATTTATTGAATTATTTATGTTTCTTTTATTATTCAGTTGTCTCTATCATGTTATAAATAGAATATATTATTGCATTTCCTCTGTCATGTAGAATATTGAATATATTGAATATATTTCATTGCACTCCATATATTATAAATATTATTTCCAATGTATAACATTGAATATAGAACACGCATGTGTCCGGGCATATCAGGAATACCGGAAGACACTGGAGACATGAACGAAAGCGTCAGAACAAGATAATTCTTGATCATGTTAAGAAAGTCAAATTAAGTAATTATGGTGAATCTTTGAATATTACATCTGCAGATATTGATCGATTTTATCGCAAAGGAAAATTTTAAAAAGAATACTGAAACTGCAGGAAAGTAATTGAAAAAAAATCACGAATTAAAGTGCCAGGCAACGTCTATACAAAGCGCGCAAAAAACTGGATGACGGAATCTTCGTTAAAGACAGCATTATTAAGTTCGGCGAATGACTGTCTTTTGAAGCCGACAACATTTCCGTTCTAAAAAGCTGGATCGAACATGGGTTTCAGGATTACGTGTCTATGCACCGCTATTACCGCGAATCAATCATAAAGAATCTGGACAGAAAATTTATATCAAAGACATGTATGTCAGTAATCAAATCAATTTAAAATGGTTCTTTTTACAGTCTTGTCTAGACAGTTACCATATAAAAAGGTGTGCAACTTTTAACATTAAGGGATGTTTTGATAATCTATTGTCGAAACACATCATCACTGTCTAATAGTAACCAGTAAATATTTACCTGTATATCAGACGAACTTGGTGACGTCGTAATTAAAAAATAACTAACTCGTGTTATTAGCAGACAGTAGGCGACACTCAATTAAGGTCTCATGTTTTTACCTTCTACACACAAATGAATATTATTATCATCAAAATATTCCAGCTTTTAGCGTATACATTGATCACTTATGTACATGTAGTTAAAACTCTACCGAACTCCTGGTTCTTTGATTACATTATGAATAATCACACGCACAAATATTTACATGTATCTATTTACTTTACAAGATTTAAATAAATCTGCACTTTCATCCATCAATTATAACTTTCCAAAACATCTTTTTCCCGATACTTACATGCTTTAAATTAAAGGGAAACAATATAGTAATACTCAAAATTTAAACTTACCTAATATATGCTCTCCCTTGTTGTTGTTTTTTCATGGATTTAACTCAATACAGGATTGGAGCAGTACCTCTAGACGCTTGCAGAAATCATGATCACAAAATAGACAAATATCTTTTTTTTTTGCCGTTTTTTACATTTTTCATTCATTATCACACATAAATCGGTTATAAAAGATGAATTTGACCTATTAAAGTTCATTCCGTTGGGTAAAAAGGCAAGATTTTAGCATTTTATGTTTCAAGCGCCTTGTCCGGTATGTACCGGAATACGGTATTTAGTGTGGTGCTCCAATCCTTTTTTTAGTCACACTCTTTTTTCATCATGCAATTATATATTGAATATTGCTTACATTCTGAAAGCATAATAAATTTTGATTGTCGATAGTCATAAGGTCATAAATTTATATATAATGTACGGTATGTATTTATATGTATGTGTATATATATGGGTGGTATGTTGTGTATACTGTTTTTTTGTACATGCAGTTTTGCTTTTTCTGAGTTGACATAATATGAGTACATGTATATCTCTGAATCTTATAAAATTATAAAATCCCCCTTTTCCCTAACAGGAAGTACCATACATGTTCAAATCAGTTTAGCATAGTTTTTTAACATACCGTTCTATTAAATGATGAACTTATTCATTCATTGTTATTTTTTATTATTTTTTTCTCATTAATTTATTTTTATTAATAGTTTATTTTTTTAAATAATCATGTTATGTTTCTCATCCTATCTTTACAATGATGATCTATTTTACATGGTTAAAATGTGATATATTTAAACAATTTCACTATTTTATTTTTTCTGATAGTGTCCTGTTTTTTTACAACTTTATTATTTTAACTATTATGATCTGTATCTACTCTACCTACTACCACAGATATATCCTTATGAGTAATTTCTAAAACTGTCATTCATCAATTAATAATGCCATCTTGATCAATGATTTTTGCAATGTATTTTGTCCTATTGTTATGTGATGATATTGAGTTAAATCCAGGCTCTGTAAATGACACAGACCACTGCTTTTCATCAAAATGTATAGTGTAAGAAATAAAATTAACTATATTAAAGAAAACCTTTTAGACTTCTTCACTGAATCTCATTTAATGAATAAAAACAGTACTAATTTATCACTAGAATGTTATGATCGACAATATTCCGGAGGATTTCTTGTATACACTTCAGCCGATTGAAGACCGAAAAGACTATTAGACATTGAATTACTTCTTCCAGAAACAATTTGGCTTGAAATTAAAGACAAAAGTAAATCTTTATGATGTGAACTTTGTATAGACCCCCACACTACAGGATAGATTTTTGGGAAAAATTGAATATTGAAAGGGCCACATAAAAATTAAGTAACATTATCTTAGTAGGTTATATAAATGAGGACCATCTTATTAATAATCAAAACAATCGACAATTCGAAGACATTCTTAACCAAAAAAAACCAAGTCAATATAAAAACTACGCCAACTCGTGTAAGTAACCATTCAAGCACTTTAATTGACCCAACTTCGATTTCCAGTACCCTTTTACCATATGATATTTTTAAACTGACCAACTTATAAGCGACCACTATGCTACATATGCATACATATGCATACATACAAATAAATTTTAAATTTGATGCTCCTTTTAAACGATGTGTATGGAACTATAAAAATGCTGATTTCAATAGATTAGATACTTGTATATTATCAACAGATTGGTCCTTTCTACTCAATAATTCTGTTGACACAACAATTTCACTTATAAATTTCTAGATCTAGCAAAATCATGCATACCTACATACTTTGTAACTGTACGCCAAAACGATAAGCCTTGGTATAATAAAAAAATTCCCAGAACATCCAGTAAGCAAGATTGATTAAAACAAAATCTAAACTATCATTTTTTAGTTCTCAAACTGATTCTTTTATTGAAGACATCAAAATTACCGAACAAGAAATCATAGATATTCACTCAAATTTAGTGATTAAAAAAGCTGGTGGTCCTGCATAAATCAGCAATCGCATAAAAATGTTAAAAATAGATTTAAAACAATCAATACCCGATCAAATTTACATATCATATCAGAGACCAATTTGTTTTATGAATTAGTTGTAATAATTTAGATAAAGTAACCCTTGCAAGAATATTAAATGTCCTTACACGCTCTGTTTCCATTGGCAAAGGACATTGGTTAGTTTTCACTTTTGGACAAACGCAAAATTCAAAAAACTGATATTAGTAAGCAAGAAAAACATGGATTTTTACCCATCTTTATCTCAGAATTATTTCAACCGTTGGTGTTATAATTTGACAAACAACATTTTAACAGTGCAAATATGTACCGAAATATATTCAAAATCAGAACTTTCAGCATCAATGAATTCCCTATCAAATCTTTAAACATTGATCAAAATCATTTTAAACCACCAGTTGTTACTAAATATTTTAAGTGGTGAACTTACCTCTTCTGTTTATCATGCAAGGATAAGAAACCAATGTAGTAACTTACATGCAGATATGTTAAGAAATTACTTTCGACAAAACTCTTTATGTTACTGTGGTGGGTGGATGGAGACTTTTTTTCAAATGTAAAATATTTACTGAACAGATACAAACTTATTTATAGCTACTGGACCTTATCTTCCTCTAGGTACAGAAAAAACTTTTATTTGGCAACCCACTTACTTATAGCGAAATGACTTTCTATTTCACGAAACACAGAAGTTTATTTAACATTCTGACAGATTTGGATAAAGTTTAATACACCAGTATATTATGTCTTTAATATATATATAATATATATAATATATCAATATATTTATTTTTTTGTCGTTGTTGTTGTTGGGTAATAGTTCCAACCAGATGAGGACTCGAACCTGAGACCTTCTTATAACTATGTATACACAAAGTCTAGACTGCTTTACAATCTGAGCTACCTGGTATAATCTGAAGTATTGTTATTGTACAGGTGTTTTGAATTGATAACAATGCTGACTTATTTTCTATTAAAATAAATTTAAAAGGATGATAGAATGAAAATACAGTAATAATAATAATAATCTTAATACGATGCCCATGCAATATTTTGTGATGAACGAAATCGACTAGATCTACTTGTGTTAGATTTTCTAATTTTGACATTTCGTGGAACGTTGCTAAATTGAATACCTTATGACAAAAAAGGTTAAGCATCTACTTACACCATTTCCAAGAAAAAGACAAATCTAAAGAATATGTAAACACAAATGCAGAATAAGTGGTTTCACGACGACACATGTACCGTAGATCGATTTTTTATGTCGCTAAGATTATAAGAATCGGCTTCGTAATACTTTTATCTCTGTTTACATCTATATTTATGTATCTCTAATTAGAGGTTTGGCAGTCAAAAGGTTTAGTTTTGTTTTTATAGGTTTCTTTCTTAGATTGTTAGTATTTTTCATTTTAGTGGTAGACTGGCATTTTTGTTTTGTTTTGATATTTGTTTTTATTTTATTTGTTCCCGTTTTCTTCAATAAGGACTTTTCCCCTCTGTATTAAT